TAACTTAAATTCAACGCAAATTGGTTTTAATAATTGCAGAAACCAAAACTGGTGACCCCGACGAAAAAGTTTCCCGATTAACCAGACATTTACTTGAATAATCACGCCACCTTACTGCAAACGCCAAGCACGTGGTTCCGGCGTTTGAGGTTATATAACCATGCCGAATACAACGACGGACAGTGGTTTATCAGCCAACACTGGTACGCCACCACCAGCGGCAGACACGGTTGCCGTAGTTTACGCCAGGTTACCGGTACCCACCATGTCCAGTACCAATATCGAAGCATGGTTTACAACGATGGACTTTTGGTTCACGGCATCCGGAATTACCACCGACAAACAAAAAACAGCTACAGTCTTGGCAGCGCTGGACCCAGCCGTTATCGCTAAGCTCAGTGATGTTATTGCCTCACTACCACAAACCGATCGTTTCGACTATGTAAAGCGAAAACTAATAGAGCACTTTGCCGACAGCGAGCAACGACGACTCAACCGATTATTATCAGAACTACCATTAGGGGACAAAAAGCCGTCCGAATTATACTACGAGATGAGGCAAGTTGCAGGTAGTACCCTGGGGGAAGCGGCACTAAAAGGTCTCTGGACGAAACGCCTACCCGAATTTGCCCAACCTGTCGTTGCTGCAACGTCAGGACCAGCCACAGAATTCACGCGAATTTCCGATTCTATTATAGATGCCGTAGCGCCAGGTCAAGTTAACAGAATCAAAGCTGAACAACCAAACGAGTTAACTGAACTGCGCGCTGCTGTCAGGGAATTAAACAACAAGTTCGAAAAAATTCACAGTTCGCTCAAGCTCACGTAATCGCAGGCGGTCCAATTCTCGCCGATACTCGCGCAGCCGCGATCATTCTCACGTCGCTGGCACATCGCACACAACTTCTGCTGAGTGCTGGTACCACCAAAGGTATGGCGGTAACGCTCGGAAATGCAGAAGCCCTTGCCGACGTAAGAATCGAACGGCAGCTACTCCCGCAGCCAATTCGTCAACTAATTGACTATCTTCCCTCGCCTCGGATAACGCCATCAACCATACAGAAGTTACTAAAATATACCGACTGCAAGTGCTAGACAAAAAGTCAAAACAAAATTTTTTAATCGACACAGGTGCGGATGTGTCCGTACTCCCGCTCACCGCTAAGACTTATGATGTTAGACCTACAGCAACAACTTTATACGCAGCAAATGGTTCCCCTATTAAAGTCGTCGGAGAAAAGCGGATAAATGTAGACCTCGGACTACGTCGCAATTTCCAATGGTCCTTCGTAATTGCCGACGTCACATCACCAATAATCGGCGCAGATTTTATCCGTTTCTATGATTTGCTTGTTGACTTACGTAGGAACCGAATCATCGACAACGTAACACAACTGCGCTCACCACTCATAGCTCTTACAACGCAGGAGGCAATTGAGATCAAGACTTTCGACTCGCGTGATCCATTTTCTGCTTTGTTAGCCGAATTCTCGGATATTACTAAACTATCGCCGCAGAGGTCTACAGCGAAGTGTACTATTACGCACCAAATAAGAACAACAGGTCAACCTGTGTCTTCCCGGCCTCGACGTCTACCTCCCGACAAGTTGGAAGCTGCGCGAAGCGAATTCGAATTCTTAATGACAGCAGGCATCTGTCGACCATCCAGCAGCTCCTGGGCAAGTCCATTGCACCTGGTAAAAAAGAGCAATGGAACGTGGAGACCATGTGGCGACTACCGTGCCCTAAATGCCCAAAAGCTTCCCGACAGATACCCACTTCCGTACTTAACAGACTTCACTGCAAATCTACGAGGTAAGACTATTTTTTCAAAAATTGATCTCCAAAGGGCATTCCACCAGGTGCCCATACAGGAAGACGACATCGCAAAAACCGCAATCACGACCCCGTTCGGTTTATATGAATTTAAATTCATGACGTTCGGGCTTTGCAACGCCGCCCAAACTTTTCAGAGGCTAATCGACGAAACATTACGCGGGTTAGATTTTGTCTTCCCGTACGTCGATGACATTTGCGTCGCCTCTAAGTCGATAGAACAGCACCGTCGTGATGTGAGAACAGTTTTCCAACGTCTACGTGATTTTAATCTGGCAATCAATCCATCGAAATGCGAATTCGGAAAAAACGAATTAAAATTCTTAGGCCATCTGGTCGACGCTCGGGGAATACACCCATTGCCCGAAAAAGTTGATGCGATTCGCAACTTCGACAAGCCTACAATTGCAAAAGAACTTAAACGTTTCCTAGCAATGGTTAATTTTTATCGCAAATTTTTGCCAAATGCAATGTCTTACCAAACGTGCCTCCAATAACTCATCGTCGGCAACAAAAAGAACGACCGCACACCAATAACGTGGAACGCTGAAGCAGAGAATGCATTCGAACGGTGCAAAGATGAACTAACGAAAGCAACACTTCTCGCACACCCCGATTCCAGCGCGGAATTAGCCCTATTTGTTGACGCATCGGATACAGCCGTTGGCGCCGCACTTCACCAACACGTCGATGGGGAATTGCAACCGCTCGGGTTCTACTCGAAAAAATTGAGCAACGCCCAACGGTCTTACAGCACCTACGACCGCGAGCTGGCTGCTATATACCAAGGCGTTTGCCACTTCCGCCACATGATCGAGGGACGTAAATGCTACATCGTGACTGACCATCGACCTTTGATCTACGCATTTAAACAAAAACCCGAAAAAGCTTCGCCCCGTCGTCTTCGCCAGTTGGATTTCGTAATTCAGTTCTCCACCGATATTCGCTACATTCCCGGCAGAGAAAACGTCACAGCCGACCTACTATAGCGTTTGCAGACTATCGACAAGATTATCGACTACAACGAAATTGCCATTTCGCAGCAAAACGACGCACACCTGCAAAACATACTTAACAAAACAGGTACGAAAAAGAGCTCGCTTAATTTAAAAACGTTTCCTATTCCCAACAGCACTCAACAGTTGTTTTGCGATACCTCAACAACAACAGTCCGCCCGTATATCCCGAAGGAATTTCGCGAAAGCCTTCTTCGAAAAGTCCATGGCTGTTCGCTCGACCGTGAAACTAATGACACAAAAATTTGTATGGCCGAATATTAAAAAAGATACCGCAACATTCGTCCGTAATTGTCTATACTGCCAACGCGCTAAAATACAGCGACATACCAAGTCTAAACCTGCAATGTACGAGCCTCCAAAAGAGCGTTTCCGCCACATCAACATAGATATCGTTGGTCCATTTCCACCATGTGAAGGACAACGATACTGTTTGACTATGATTGACAGGTATACTCGATGGCCAGAGGCAGCGCCGATGCCAGACATGTCTGCCGAATCTGTCTCGAAAGCATTACTCTCGCACTGGATAGCTCGTTTCGGAGTTCCAGAGCGATAACTTCGGACCAAGGAAGGCAGTTTGATTCCGCCGTTTTCGCCGAATTAATGACCCTTCTTGGTACAAACCACTTACGAACAACTCCGTACCACCCGCAATCAAATGGAATAATTGAACGGTGGCACAGAAGCTTCAAGACAGCGATTTTATGCCACGATCCAGCCAAGTGGGTACACAACCTACCGACAATACTTCTTGGTCTACGCGTTGCATTCAAACCGGACATTAATACCTGCCCTGCCTTACTCGTTTACGGAACAACATTACGTATTCCCGGCGAATTCTTAGAAGAAACAAAAAGTAAGAAAGTTACTACCGACACTATATCGCATTTTCAGTCAACAATGATGAAGCTACAGCCTACGCAAACAAAACACCATTCCACTTCGAAGGTTTTCGTATCGCCAGCGTTGCAATCAGCCACACACGTATTCCTGCGCAACGACTCGATTCGTCCTTCGCTTACTCGACCCTACGACGGACCGTTCCTTGTGGTCAAGAAATCGCCGAAGTACTTTAAGATTATAGTACGAGGTCGCCCAACCAACGTAAGCATAGATCGGCTCAAACCAGCTTTTAAAGCAAGCGACGAATCCAGCGATATATCTAACACTCCACAAGAGGAAGAAGAGCCGCACGTTACGATGAAACCTACTCGCAGTGGTAGACGAATTAACATACCCTTTCGGTACCGATAGTTCCATCTGGCAGGGGAGTACTGTGGCACCCTGTTCTACTCCTTTCTAACATCCCATTTAAATTTGTAACATTAGTATTACTTTTAAGTTTTTTATTCCTTCTTC